GCTGACGGCCGCGCGCCCGGCCGGGGCTTTGTGCGCAGCGCCGAGGCCCGGCCTGCCCCGTCGAATCCCACGGGTGAGGGTATTTCCACGTCCCCTAGGTGGACTCCTGTGCAGCTAAGAAAACAAAAACCAAAACGCACCACCTTGCAGACCTGGAGGGTGCCGCCGCTGCACGAGAGGCACATTTGCGCAGGGTGTGGATGTGCACCCCGCTCTCCGCAGCACCGGGCAGCTGGCACACGTTTCTAAAGGAAGCTCGAATCTCCGACTTAGACCCGCGGAGCACTGGCTGCGGCGTCAGGTGACCCCGTGGAGAACATGTCCGGCCTGCCCAGGGTGCACCGGTGGTGCGCTCGCTCGCACGAGCCCGGTGTCGGTGTGCTTCGGGCGTCCGCTGCTGAATTCAAGTCGTGCACTTAAGCACTTGCTAAACGACTGACAACTCCTGAAATTATTGCAGCGTGGCTTTTGGTAAATCATATCCAGATAGTTTTCATTTATTCTTTTTAAATGTTTTTTTCGGCTTTTGTTTTGTTTTTTTGAGACTGGTTTTGAACTCACTTTGTAGCCCACGCTGGCCTCGACCTCATGGTGATCGTCCTGCCTCAGCCTTCTGAGTGCTGGGATTACAGGCGGGTGCCACGGTGCCCTGAGACTAACCCTTTAGCCGGTGCGTGTTTTCCATTGCTCTAACAGTCTCGATTACAGATTACACAGCAGTGGATAGCAGTGCCTCCTGCTGGCTGTGTGGAGAATGCCGTTGGTATTATCTCCTTTCGTTTTCCTAACAGTACTAAAGGGCAGGTCTTAATAACCTCCGTGATCTCGGGGTCCAACAGCCCGGCTGAGGCCGACTCCTGTGCCGTCGGCCCATCAGCTGGTCTGCCCAGCTGCTTTTCCGCATGTTTGTGAAGTACCCAGAGCCCAGCACTTAACCTTCCTCGTTCAGCTTGTTCAGTAGCTGTTACGGTGTGTGTCTGGATGTCCCCCAAATCCTCATGCAGTCGTGGGGCGGGCTTCTAGGGTTCATGGTTGATCCGTGATCCAGTGCCGGGATAGTTTACATGTATAAGGGAGGGAAAGAGGCGGCTCGCCGCTGCTCCTCCCTTCTGCTCTGGCTGCTTTTGCTGTCTTCCACCTCCACGAACGGTTGCGCTCTGCCATGTGCCACCCTGCCTTGGAGCCAGCCGAGTAGGAGCTGAAACCTCCACAGACTGTGAGCTAAATAAACCTTTCCTTCCTCAGTTCTAGGCGTTGGGTATTTTGTCTCAGCAACGAGACAAAAGTAACCGAGACAACAGCCCAGGCAGTGTGAGTGACGGAAACGGTAGCCCTATTTCTGTTGCCCAGTCTGGAGTAAGTGCTTCGTCATCACCTACCTAGTCAAACACAATTACTTTATTGAGTCACCTCTCCCAGTTCGTCCTTCAGACTTCCGAATGCATGGTTTAATTCCACAGATATCCACTAGATACGTGGACCAAGCAGTGTGATTGCTGTCAGCAGGCTTTACACGACAGGCAGTCTCCCAGGTCCCAGGGGGCCGGCTTGTTGCAGGTCAGCAGTGCACACGCGGCGAGCCATCTCTTGCCTTGTCCACTCGGACTTTTTGAGGCACCTCTGGATAATCCTAAGGCTCTTCAAACCAGTTTGGACAGTATTTGTGTCCATGATTTTGAAACTCTCAAGACTGCTCGGTGGCATTATCTTTCTGACTAGGTAATAGGTACAATTCCCTTCCTAGGTAAACGTGCAACAGAAACGCGTCCAAGTACTCCGAGAGACGAGAACAGAATGAACAGCTGCATTTATGTTGCAAACAAACAGAACGCCGTCAGTGGTGAAGTGCTTCCCAGCAAAAATGAATGCCGCTCCTTCCAGGAAGAGGCGAGCCTCACAGCCGGCCTGAGTGAAGAAGGGAAAAACAGCCCAGTGCTGTATTTTAGTATTAATTTAAAAAATGAGTAACACTGCCAGTTGTGGCGGCGCACACCCGCGATCGCATGTGGGGCGGAGGCCAGCCTGAGCTGTGCAGCAGGGCGGCTCCCGCAGCGGGCACTTCCATGGGGTGCTGACGGGCACGGGAGGCCTGGGAGAACTGTCAGCCTGTGACCTGAGGGTTGGGGACCCAGGGCTTGCAGCAAACTAACACAGTTCTACTCTGGATTTCTTTTTTTTTTTTTTTTTCCGGTACTGGGAATCGAACTCACTACCTTGCACTTGCCAGGCAGGCGCTGTGCCGCTGGGCTACATCCCCAGCCCCTCCACTCTGTATTTTATGCACTGCGTTATGTGGTGCCTTTCCCAAAAGTTGAAGCATCAGGAGGCAGCAACCCAAAGCCGAGGCTTCCTCTGTGATGGCCGAACCTGCCGCGCCTCACCCCTGCCCTCCCCAGTCCTCTGCCAGGATGAGTGAAAAGAAAAGTAAGGATGAATCTGGGGCGGAGGAGCCCCTTGTAAGCGTAGTTACAGACCACACAAAATGTGCGTGTTTGGAACATTTAAAACTTTTCTGTACGGCTGTGTTTGGCACATTTAAAACTTTTCTGTACGGCTGTGTTTGGCGCATTTAAAACTTTTCTGTACGGCTGTGCGAGCTCTCGGATGGATCCCTTCTTTTTCCAAGCCGTTTCTTAAAGAAACCTTATCAGTTTCTACCTAAGGATGAGGATCTGTCTCAACCCAGTCTCAGGAACTGCAGTGGACTGACGCTGGTGGCCGACTTGCAACCCCCAGCTGAACTGAGTGAGCGCGGTGCGGGGTGTGGGCGCCCACCTGCGGACCGCTGCCAGCGGCACAGGAGGCGGAGCTGGGGAAGAAGAGAGGCGTTTGGGAACTAAAGAGGCTGCTGGGAGCTGAGAGCGGCTGTCGGAGCTGGTACAGGCTGTAAGGAGCTGTTGGCTCTCCTGGAGGACTGTGTCACGCTGGCTTTCCTGATGAACTCGGCTGTTCTCAGCCTCCGAGGAGCTCGGGACCTCGCTGGCACTGAGAATGGCTTCGGTTCGCGCTGGGGGAGCTCTGGTCCTCACTCTGAGCATCGCTTCCTGGCTCCAGAGGGGAAGATGGTGCGCTGCCGGTCTGCTGCAGAAGCTTGCTGCGTTGGCTTCCCTGATGGGAACTCGGCTGTCCTGATCATCGGAGAAACTCAGGACCTCACTGCTGCTGAGGATGGCTGTGGTACCTTTCAGGGGAGCTCTGGTTCTTCTGAGCATGGCTTCCTGGCTCCAGTGCAGATCCCTCAGCCTGCTAGCACAGGTCCTTCATCCTGCTGGCACAGACTTTGTAGATTCCACCACTGACCTTTGGGCCTTTGCAGCGCAGATCCGTGAAACACTCCTGCGTGAGACTTTGTCGTGGGCTCTGGCCTCCAGGTGGACTCGTGGGAGGCGCTGTTATGGGCTCTCGGTCTTCAGCTGGACTCTGCAGGACATTTCCGTGGGAGCCAGGCCCTCGGGTGGTTTCCTTGGTCTTAGTGTGTGGACGGATTTCCTGCACTCCTTTGTGTATTGTTCTTTGGGTGACTGTTATAATCTTATGAAATATGTGTCCTGTATTATAGTTCTGCCTTGCCAAAATATCCCCAAAGCATACCAGGAACTGCTTGCCCGAGTGAGCGTGTCGGCCAACCTGAAAACAGCATCGCTCGGCTTCGGTGTACACGGTGACCGACTGTTCATCACCACGTCCTCTGGAAGCCGGCGTTCTCCTCGGCGGCTCAGGGACGTCATGACGTACAGCCCCGGCTTCCGAGGCTGCTCAAGTGCTTTGGTTAAACCCGCTGTATTTGGTGTGCTGGTTACACTTCGTACGAGCCCAGCACGTTATACTGCTTCCTTGGAATTCGGTCAAGTTTTATTTTGGGACATCTTGTTCTAGAGAAAATTTATAGCCTTGACTTCTTAGTAATTATCCCCACACTAACTACTCAGTCTATGACCTTCCCTCTTTCTGAGTACGACCTCTCCAAACTTGAACTCCTACTACTGGATTTGTGAGATTTCCAAGTCTTAAGTCTTCCGTGAAAACACATTTGTAGCCAAGTGTGATGGTGCAGACCTGTTAAAGCAGCCACTGGGAGGCTGAGGCAGGAAGACTAGGTTTAAACCCAGCCTGGCAAACTTAGCAATTCTGCAATATTCTTAGTAAAAAAAGAAATACTTTATTGTAACTAAAAAGGGCTGGGGATGTAGCTCAATGTGAAGGCTGTTGTCTCAGACCCCAGTAGTACCCCAAGGACGCTGCTCCACTTCCTGCTGTCCCTGTCAATGAAGGGAAGGTTCTTCTGTCCAAGGTTAGACTCCCAGAACATCTTGTTTAATCTCAGAGCTCTTCTGCTCTGTCTTCTCCTACCGGGTAACGTTCGTGTTTGTCCTCACCTGAAGGCGGAAACTGGAACCATGACTGCAGGCAGTGGGGGTGGATCGAGCCATGGGAACGACTTTTTATTGCCCATCTTTAAAAAAGCTTGGATTCTTGAATTATGGGATTGTATCACCTGTGGTAAGAAGCACTTTTAAAAGGCAGATTGTCTTGAATCCATCCAGTGTAGACTGTATTTGAGAAGGAAATCCAAAGGAAAGAGGACGACCGCCTCTTAACACTTAAATGTGGCTTTCTTATCAAGGGCCGTGGACCTGCTTACCGGCAGTGAGCTGTAACTTCCTCGTTCACGCCATGTCACCACGGCCGCGTGTCCTGCGCACCCCGCCGAGCGCCGAGCAGTGTGAGTGGGGGGCTGACATCTCTCGGTGAGAGACCCGAGAGCGGCCCCTTCCACTCGCTGGGTGGTGAGCCGGAGCCGGGAGGACGGTGCCAGTGCCCCGGCGTTCCTGAGCGCCAGGCCCGCTCCCGCGCACAGCCGCGACGCCGTGTTTTGTTTGTCGAGTCACACTTTAACCACGGTCACGAGGATCAGGACAGAAGTCACTTATTCAAAACGTTCTCATTTAAAAAAATCATTTTTATTGTCATTTTATAGTTTAAAAAAACATACACGGCATGGCTATACAGTAATGAGACAAGTTCTCACGTGTGTCCTGGCCGAGTCTCATTAGCATATAGTCACATCCTGCCTCAAGCTTGGGAGAAAAATATGCCTTCACTGTATGCTCACCAGGTTTGTCACGTAAAATTTGAGTGCCAACAGAGCACTAGGCACATATTAACACAGAATTATACAGTCTCTATGTTGTAGACTATATTATTTACATAGATTTCTCAAAGATAACATTAGAGCATGTATTTACAGAACTGTAGACAAAAATAACAATACTGGACATAAGTCTCTGTCTAGCAAGGAGCACCTTTTCATGAATGAGAGGGTTGCGCAGAACGCATTATGCAAGAGCACTTTAATTCCGTTACCCACCGAAGTCCGCATGATCACATTGTGCAGCCCTACAAAGCCGGAGAGGAAAACCAAGGGGAGCCGTGAGCCGGTTTCGTCAGGTCAGACACATTTAGAAAACGCTCTTCCATGACCACCGCTTAGTGAGGCCGGAGACGCGGTTACACATTTCAGGGAAAAGCCAGAGCGCCGCACGCTGTTCACTGAGGTGAAATAGGACGGAAATAACGTTTCTAAACTCCGAGTCTCTTTAATTACCATTGCAGTGTCTTATTTTGAGAAGAAAAAGGTACCTTGAAAATACTTGACACAAAATTCACTTAGAGACACTCAGGAGAGTTCTAGGAAGCGTAGTGAACAGAGAATTCGCAGACGGGGCCGCCGAGCGGCTCCGCCCTTCCTGCACGCCAGGCGCAGCGGGCCGGGGTTCACCCTCCCGGGCCCTAGCCGAGGCTCGGCGCACACAGGGTCTCTAAGAAGCCGCCCTCCCCGGTCCAGCCTGAACACCTGGAGACGTCGAGGATCTGACCCAACAGCCCAGTAACACGAACCGCTTTCAGTCAAGCGCGCAGCAGCCACGAAAACGACACTGCTCCTCCGCTCTCCTCGCACCGCTCACAGCGCTCCTCTCGGTCGGCTCCGCGTTCCCGCAGACGGGGAGGCTGCTCGGCTCCTCCGCCACTGTCCCTCGGCGCCGTCAGGCGGTGGCCGCTGGCTTCTGCTTCCGCTGCATTTAGGGTGGTGTTTCTTAAAGAATATCTTAAGCATACTCAGAAATGAAGGACTCAAGAAAATGTTCAGTCTTTTATTTAAAAACTATAAACAGTCACCAAAGTAAATAAAGCCATTCTATAACATAAACTGTTAGCTCTATATTTCTTACTGCACACCCTAAGGACACAGCAGAGATGGTGCTTGGGAGGCCTCCACGTTTTTGGATGCTAAGAGAACAGGCAATAGGCAGTTATAAATGGGTACATTTCACTTCGGGAAAGACAGTCTGAGGAAGTGAGCAGTTTCTGAGCAGGAATGTGGTACAGTATTAAGAATGGAAGAATAATACAGTAAAATCCCACACTATATTAAGATAGAAAAAGTAGTGAAGAAAATATCATACCTGCACATAATGCATATATAACACAGGAGAAAACCTGTATAAAACTCCATGTATTTAAACCAATTTACAAATACAAAAAATTCTGTCCAAGCTCTGAGCTTGCACATGACAAACGTTTACAGTGGATACATGTTAGGGAAAACCAAAAAATACCTTCAAATAGTTTTTCTTCTACAAAAATGACATGAGATATATTATTCCATACTCTTTCAGCCAGCAAATGAGTTCTACAAGGTGTATAATACAAGAAAAAAGGAGAAAAATGAAAAAAAAAAAAAAAATCACAGTTCCACAAAACTGTTCTGACTTTACAGCGTCGGTACCTTTGCAGAAGTATTTACACACAGGTCAAGAACACCCCTCCACTGCGCGGGATATGTCACAATTACTTACAATTGACGCAAGTCTAGAAAACTGTAGAGCTACCAGTAATGCTTCTAGGACACCACACAGTGTGTTTCCAGTGGCTGCAGTGGCATGAAAGTGTTCCTTCTATTCACAAGTATTTACAAGATCTATTCAGACTGGTAAATTTTTATGATAATAAATAAGTGAAAATATATTGGCTCAAGTAAGAAAACCAAGCTACTGATTTCTAAACAAAACACACAATCCATAGCTAGAGATTGGTGGCCCCTCTGAGACGGGGGTATAGGTGTGCTGAAACTTCTTTTAATTATTCAAACCAGCTTAAACGGTTTTGTAAATATAAAAATGTGCTCCTTTTGGATATAGATAAAAATATTTAATGCTTCTATTTCATCTGCTCATGTAGGTTTTACAATATCCATGTCTATTCCAATGTGGATGGTACTGAATTCTGATCACACCAGTTTCCATCAGGATTTGTCCGATCCGAGACATCCTGCAGATACGCTGGTTGACAATCCCACAGCAGTTTTTTTTCTTTGTAAGATTTTTTAAAACAGAGCAAAGGGATTCGTCCAGAGATCAGAATGCGAAGCTTCCTCTCAGCATCCCCGGGGAGACAAGGAACTCCTCGCGGCCTGCGTCCGCGGTGACAGCGCGTGAGGTGTGTCCGACGTCCGGCCCCGCGGGGCGGCCGCGCTCACTGCAGCGGTTCCGCGTCCTGCTCTCTGCTCTGAACCGTGAAGTTCAGTTCGTAAAGGCATTTGGCGAGGGTGGACGAAGCTTCCATGCTGCTAATGGCGAGCACTGACAAGTTGTTCTCGTGTCTCTTCAACAACCTGGAAGGAAGAGACACAGGCATCAGTGCCCGAGGTGGCAGCAGGGGCGCCCCGGCGGCCAGAGAGCTCCCCTGCGCCCCTGCGCCAGGGCAACGAAGGCGCCCCAAGGTGGGGCCGGACGCGGCGGACCCAGCGCCCGCAGCACCCAGCCCTGCCCCAGGGCCTTTGCACCGAGGCACAGCCCCGCCCACTCTAACTCTGAGACAGGAGCGCACATCTAGCCATCTTCCTGCCGCAGCTTACCTCAGACCAATCTCGCCGTCCTGGCAGAAACGGGGAGAACCGGCCGCGGCACTGTGGACTAGGACGTCCGCAGGCGGGGCGCGGGGAGAGACGGCGGGGGTGACACGGCTCTTGGCACCGGGCATTCTGACTGGGTTTTTTTTTTTTTTTTTTTTTTTTTTTTGCGGTACCAGGGATTGAACTCACAACCTTGTGCCTATGCCACTGAGCTATGTCCCCAGCCGACTGTTAGCCTGGGCGGTCAGTTATATGGTGCTTCACTGTCTGATGACTTTAACATTAAGCTTTATACCTCTCTATTTATGTTCTTCATGGATGACATCTCAAATTTTAATTTGACAAATATTAAAATGAAGTGCAGACTTTTTTATTCTTTTTTTCTAAAGAAACAGGAAAAACTGGATTTGAAAATACTGAATTTATCAAAAATTAAAAATATAAAGTACAATTATATCATTTATTTTTCCTCTACAAAGAACATTTTGACAAAAAAAAACAATGGGTTTTTTTTTAAATATAGGATCTTATATGTGTTCCAGGCTGGTCTTGAACTCGTCAACCTCCGGCCTTAGCCTCCCCAGTGCTGGTGCTTTCATGTATTTACCAAAATCACGTATTTTTTAAACTGATGACCGCAAGTTGAAAAATATTCTCTTGTATTTGGATACTACATAGACAAAACTGGAAAGATGAACAAAAACTGCCACCATATTTTAAAGTAACAGCTTCCTGTTCTTTTGGTGCTGGGGACAGAAACCAGGGCCCAGAGGATGCTGGGCGCACGCTCTACACGGAGCTCCGCCTGAGCCCTAACGATTTCCTGTGTGATATAAATTGATATTTTTATTTTCGATGTTTTTTTAAAATTAAAGCAGCACTCACTTGATACAAAATGAAATATAATTGAAGCCAGGAGTGGTGGCACACATATGGAATCTCAGCACTCAGGAGGCTGAGGCAGGAGGATCAATTGCTGTGAGTTCAAGGACACCCTGGGCTACACAGTGAGCTCAAGGCCAGCCCGAACTATAGCAAGACCCTGTCTCAAAAAACAAAAACAAAATAACCTACGAAACAAAATAAAATATGACTTTTTTGTTTTATAAAATGATATTTTTTTTTAAAATGGTATTCTTTTAAACCCTTCTTTTTCTGAGTGACAGTGCCGGGGACAGAACTCTGGGCCTTCAGCATGCGAGGCAAGCATGTACCACAGAGCTACATCCCCAGCAACATCCTGTCAAGGTGCAGTTCCCATGGATTTTTGTCTTTGAGATGACTAAGCCAGGAGTAAACCCTCCGCTGTGATGTACTTCCTAGACGTAGACACTCTGTAGGCCGCATTAGCGAGTACAACTTAGGATGCAGATAAGCTCTAGGAAAAGACAGCAGTCTGAACACGAACTGTCTCTGTTCCCCACCAAAACCAGCATCAGAACGAGAGGGGGGCGAAGCCAGGAGGGCGAACCGCGTGGAGACGCAGCCACCGAGGGCTGAGGGCGGGGCCCAGGCAGGAGGCAGGCGGCAGGCACAGCACACCTCGCGCCGGCTCCAGCCCGCCGGCCGCCTTGACTTTCCCCCAGAACACCCAGCTCCAAACAGCCAGAGCAGCAGCGTGTGGAGAGGACACAGCCGCGCTCTGAGGGCTTCTAATTAACAAGCTGGTTCATCGCGGGTCACCCTGAAATGGCAGTTATCAGTGGCACAGAATGGCTGCGTACCCACAGCTTTCAAGCAGCTTGTCAATATTTCAGTAAGCTGTGAAGCAGACCCGTAAAACCCTCAAATACCTGAAGAATTCTGAAAAAGGAAAAACTGTACAGAGAGCAGAGAAAACTTCAAACCACCAGATCTACCGGGCATAGCAGCGCCCTCCTGTAATCCCAGCACTCTAGGAGGCTAAGGAAGAAGGTCTCAAGTTCAAGCCCAGGCTGTGCAACTGAGGGATTTAGCAAGACTCTGCCTGAAGATAAAAAAGTGCACAGGTGCTGGGGATGTACATAGCTCAGTATAAGGCCTGGTGTTCAACTATAACAAATCCTGGAGGGAGGGAAAGACACACACACACACGAGACAGACAGACATACAGAAGCAGCATTAATCAAGAGAGATGAAGAGACACTATCCAGTAAGGAAACAGCGACAACTAGCAACTAAGAGCTTTTAGAAATTCAAACAAGAAAATGGAATTAAAAATTCAGTAATTTCATGATAAAGTCAGAGGCATTTCTCGAAAATAGAGTACACAGAAGTGAAAGCTCAAAGACAAAAGGAAAATAATATACAGGAAAACTTCCTGTCACTAAAGGATACAAGTTTCCAGACTAGAAATATCCACTAAAATGAAACACCTACTCCAAAGAAAACACAGTGCTTCCCTTCAAAATACACTACAAAACTGCAGTAACGCAAACAGCACGGCATTAGCACAAAAACCGATACACAACACAGAGCCTAAAAGTAAAGCCATGCATCTATACGGCCGATGGATTTTCAACTAAGGTGCTGAGAACACACATGGGAGAGGACGGTCTTCTCAGTACACCCTGCTGGGAAAACGGAGTATCTGCATATGGAGAAGTGGAAGTATACTTCCCTTGTGCCCCCAGTTACACAAATCAGCTCCAAGACTGGGGTGCTGGCCCACACCTAGGACCCCAGCTACCTGGGAGGCAGGTGAGGGGCAGTGCCAGCTCCAGGCCGGCGGGTGAGCCAGCGAGGCCCTGTCTTACGGGCACACGCTCAGCTCAGTGTCACAGTGCTCGTCGGCATGCACGAAGCCCAAGCGTCAGTCTCCAGCACTGACCTGAAACTGCAAAACCATTACAAGAGAATATGCTGCAAACGCTGGGGACGCCGGAATGGGAAGAACTTCTAGGACAAGACCCCACAGGCGAGCAGACAAAAGCAAGAATGGGAGAGGCAGGGCTACATCCGCCTAGACGCTTCTGCAGGGCCCGGGAAACAGCCATCAGGCGAGCAGGCAGTGCACGCAGTGGGAGGTTTTCAAACTGTTAATCTCAAGGCGCTAATATTCAGAATACCTACACAGCTCCAAAACGCCCATCCCCGTGCCTGCAGAACTCCTGATTTAGAAATAGCAAATAGCCAGGCATGGTGGAATAGGTCTTGTAAGCGCAGCACTTCAGGAGGCTGAGGCGGGAGGATCACACATTTCAGCCCACCTGAACAACTTAGGAAGACCCTGCTTCGAAATTAAAAATAAAGAAGGGCTGCAGCGGACACCGCTTAGTGGGAAGGCCCTGGTTCACTCCTCAGTACTGACGGCGGCGCGGGAGACAGTAAACCTAAGTAATAGAAGAACAACAACAGAAGGTAGAGAGAAGGAGACACACCAGCGGCCAAGAGGCCTAGCATCGTGAACCGGCGGGGAAACGCACACGTCAGGCTCTCGGGGCCCTCCTCCACCCCGACGGCGCCGGCCGTTAGAGACGAGAGGGTCTGAGCGCCCGCAGAGGAGGCCGCCGGCGGGCGCAGCTTCCTCAAGAATGAAAGCAGGCCCGCGTGACTCACAACCGACCCGCGGCGCACGGCCGGGAAGGAACCGCAGCGGCCGCGGAGACCGCCGGCCTGAGAGCCCGCGCCCGCCGCGCGGACAAGGAGGCGCGCGGGGCCCTGGAGGGCCCGGCTTCCCCCGCGGAAGGGCAGAGGCCAGGCGGCTCTGGCGGGCGCGGCTCCACAGGACACTGGCCACAGGTAACAGCTGCGTGCAGTGCCCTGCAAAGCCAGGACTCTGAGGGCGGTACCTCCACAGTAAAGAAATGATAAATACTGGAGACTGGTGTGTTTGACCTGATTCAAACATTACACAACATATACTTGGACCAAAATGTCCTAAGAAGGCCGGGCGTGGTGGCGCACGCCTATAGTCCCAGCACTTACGAGGCTGAGGCAGGAAGACCGTTGTGAGTTCAAGACCAGCCTGGGCTACAAAGTGAGCTCAAGGCCAGCCTGCACCGCAGAGCGAGACCCTGTCTCAAAAAAAGGCAAACAACTCCAACCAACCAAACAAAAACAAAACAAAGTGAGTTCAAGGCCAGCATGAATCGCATGGTGAGACCAGTAAAAAAAGCCACAAGGTTCCCAAGAAAGACAAAAAATATCCTACCTTAGATGACCAGCATGAAACTAGAGAATATCAGAAATAAGAGGCTGCAAGAGCTTCCAGAGGTAGAGAAAAAGAAAATCTATCACATACGAAAGAGCAGGCGCCAAAGCGCCCTCGGGCCGCTCCACCGCGGGCCGCACGCCGGAAGACGCGAAGGCGCCGGGGCAGGGCGAGCCGAGCTGCGAGGAGCAAGGCCGGGCCTGGGGGCCTGCGCGCGGTTACCACGAGCTCCCCAGAGCGCCGACGGCCGCACCTACGCGTTCCACGGTATTCATACCACCAGACCGCGGATTTCAAATACAGCAACTGCCGACATCTCACTCTGCTCACCTTTACACAGCTGTGTGGACTTCAATGTTTTTATTATAAATTAAAAAATGACTGAGTCTAACAAAATCATACCCCATATTGTCCCACCAGAGCCGCAATTTCCCACACTGTCCACACAGGAGGTTTCGCTCGATTGTCAGTGTCTTCTCTCCCCAAGCTTCCCCTCGCAGGAGCTGTCTGAAAGACGCTCTGTAACGGCGGTCTCGGCTGGGCCCGGGAGGATGAGCGGGAGAATTTAACGGACTGCTCTAATTCTTACGATTTCACGGTTCCAAGATCACGGGAACCGAAGAAGCCGGAAAACACCTGGGAGACTCACAGTTCATAAATAAAACAAAACCCAGGAGATCAAGCACAGGCAAATGGAAACTTCAGCCGGGCGCGGGGCGCCATCTGCCATCCCAGCGCTCCGAGGCCTACGGCAGGAGGGTTCCAGGAGTTCCAGGGAGCTCCATAGGAGTTCAAGGTCACCCGGAACTATGTTAAAAAGAGAACTTCTAGCTTAGTAATTGCTTAGATCCAGACAGAGAGGCCTCGTTATAAGCCTAAGAGTGACTTCTTAGTGTGAAGCAAAGACCCTGAGAGAAAGTTACAGAATTACTTTGGGAATCGAATTTACTACCCAGATTCAAGGTCTGAACTCAGCACAACATGCAGCTGTGCGCCTCCCCCCTCCCGCAGGCTACCAAGCCAACGCTTACTGGGTGGTTACTACGTCCTCAAGACGACGCTAGGGATCACGGAAAGAACGATGAAAATAAACAGCGTCCACCTTCCAAGAGCTGGCCATCCACCTCGGCAGCCGCCACACGTGGGGCCTATGTAGGGAAGACGCACTGCGCCCCAGGCCAGTGCGAGAGTCAGGAGGATGCCAGGGCAGCGAGGCAAGCGGGAGCTGAATCCTACAAGATGAAGAGCAGGTGGGAGTTATGTGCACTGTATTACAGCACCGTGGCTGATGGTCAGGCAACCAGGATCCACCAGACAAAACGCACCCCCGTTCAGCAGGAGGGGAAACGGCCGCAGAAGCCCATCTACAGGACAACGAGCTCACTACTCTGAGATATAAAGATAGAGGAGAATCGATTCGGGGGGACAGGAGCAAGATCCGTGCGGCGAGGCTGTACGCAGCGCAGCCCTCAGGTGAGCGGAACGTGGAGGGTCAGCGGACACTCAGCGGGGGCCGGCACAAGGAGGGCAGTCCGCACACGGAGAAGGGAGGCGCGTGAACAACGCTCACGGCGAAACAAGGAACCGCCTAAGGAGATCAGGAAGGAGGCTCAGCTTGGCCGAAACGCTGGTCATGAAGCCAACGGAAGGGAAAGGTAGGAAGACTCGGCATTACAAGTGGAGCAGGAAGACACTGGGGTTCTATGTGCACAGACCTTCCACTTCTTCTTTTTCTGAAGACCTTCAAGTGTTAAGAATTTTTCTAGTCATGAGGTCCTGGGTGCTGGTCCTAGCACTGCCATGAAAAACTTGTTCATTTTAAGAATGCCCGATGCAGGGCTGGGGATGTAGCTCAGCAGCATAAGCACTTGCCTGAAAAACCTGAGGTCATGAGTTTGATTCCCAGTACCAAAAAAAAAAAAAAAAAAAAAAAAGCCTGATGCACTTGATATGGTAATTTTTGTCACTGTAACACGCTCACAAATTTTGTTATTTTTGTTCGTTTGTTTTTTGTTTTTTTCCAGTACCAGCAATGGAACTCACGACTCAGTTCACGGCTGAGCTAAATCCCCAGCCCCACAAATTTTAAAATGTGACCCAGTCAAATTCACGTTTTCCTTTTGTAATTAATATCACTGTTTTCATAATTGGAAGAGCCAATTTAAAGATCATTTCAACAAATACCATGAAAGACTTAAAGCAGGGTAAAAAGGTATGGTGGGAAGAGCCAGGGTACACTCAAGGTGTATCTGACCCGACGTGGTGGAGTATGTCTGTGACCCCAGCTACCTGGGAGGCTGAGGCAGGAGGACTGCAAGTCTGAGCTAAGCCTAGGCCACCCGACCTGAGTGCAATCTTCAGCACCATGAAGAGAGTCGCAAGGTGAGGGGCGAGCGGAGCGGCACAGCCTGGGGGAGTGTGAGGCGCGGAAGGGGCCGCGGAGCAGGGCCGCCGGGGGCGCAGGCCCGCGCTGGCAGGCCGCACCCAGAAGGCAGGCCTTGTGAACCTCGTGTGGACGGGCGGCTCACTCCCTTGCCACAACACTGGTGCCCCCACGCCGGCGCGGTGCCGGGCTGGGGTGGTTTATGACAACCAAGTTTCAGGAATTTTAGTAAGATTTTTTTTTTGAGACAGGGTCTCGCTACGCAGTTCAGGCTGGTCTTGAACTCACTATGCAGCCCAGGCTGGCCTGGATCCTCCTGCCTTAGCCTCCCAAATACTGAGATTGTAGGCAGCGCATCACAGCTCTGCCTCAAGCTGGTTTTTAAACAATACTAAAAATTAAACTTAAGAAAGAATTAAGATGTTATGTACACGTACCAACTCCCCATGGTGAATGTAACTTATACATTACAAACACCTATTAATGAAGATTTTAAAAAACTGTAAAGAAAGATGCAAGAGGAATATGAGAAAAGCAGCTTTAGGGGAGACCCTATAGGGGACATATCAACAGAACATTCCACATTTCCTCTGTTAAGGATTGAAGTATTATTTCTGATTTCAATAAACCTTCTAAGTCTTGCTTATTCTCTTGCTTCAGTCCAGCAGAAAGTACTTTTTACATACTCGAGTGGTAACAGGGAACCCCGGCACTCTCCATGGCGTCGGCAGACTCACTGAAACGTCCGTCGCCAACCGGAAGGGGCTCGTCACGTTTCACGTGACTCAAGCGGCCAGCTCCTGCTGCCCCTCCAGAGACCCCAGCCCTCCTCGCTGGGAGAGCAGCTCACAGTTCTAACTCTACGGCCAAGTTAAACGCCTGCGGTTTGGTTGCTTCAGCTCTTCGTAGTTTTGGCTTTTAAGACTTTGGCATGAAACTTTTGGTCTTTTCACAACACTGATGAAGTAAACAGTAAATAAAATAGAGACGCCGAATTGCGTAAACTCACACGTAACAGTAACGCAATGCAAATTCGCTTTGGAATGGGAAACAGCTTTACTCACCTGCGACCACATTCTGAGTATTTACCAATGTTTTTTAATATTAAGGCAGCTGTTAGTCGGATGTGTTTAGTTATTGGTCCCTCTTTTTCATCCTTAAAAAGAAAGGAGAATATAAAAAAAAAAGAATAAAGATCTAAATCGCACAGGACGCACACCTTCACAGACAAGGCTTTCAAGGCGCGCTTACTGTGAAATCTCGAAAGACAAGGTTCCTCGAGCCTCTCCTGAGAGCCATGAGCGCGGCGCTGGGGTGGTTCACAATGGCCTTCTGCGCTCGAGGAGTGGAGCTGGTGCCCGCCGCAGCTGGCTGCCTAAACCATCAGAGAGACAGGCTGTTAGCACGACCCCGCGCAGACCGCAACACCGACTGGCCCGCCAGCGCCGCCAGCGGTCCCTCTGAAACGCGGGAGGCCCCGGCCCACCCTTGGTATCTGTGTTTTGCACCGCCTTGGCCAGGGGTGCTTAGTGCTGAGCGGAGGACATCAGGCGCTCCGCTACGGCTCATCCTCACAGTTACGGCGCTGGGCAGTACAAACAGATGCAAGCCGTGCCTCGGCTGTGAAGTTTTAAATTCTTGAGTGTAACGTGAAGACGTCTGTTTGTTTTTCATTTATTTGCAGAATCTATTTACTGGGGAAAGAAAGCTTCTGAGAGAAAGACAGAAGCGGTCCCGTATGGGTTGCTGAGGACCCTGCCTTTTTAAAGGAATTTTTATAATGCAAAACTATGAGGTGGGTGGGTCCAAGGTGAAGATGTTTTCAAAGAGGAAAACACTTTACAACCTGAGCTGTAAATTACTTTGAAGTAGCACCTAAGAGAAAAACAGTACCACCTAAAAATGTATTGGCACAGGTCACCCGGGAAAAGGCAGCCTGATACTTAAACAAGAGTTATGCTAAATACTACACATTTCAGCGACTACTTTCTTGCAGAACCTTATTTTTCATTATTATTTAATAATTCATGCAATCCTTTACAATTTTACAATTCCACAGAATGGAGGGACTGCACAGATAGTTTTCTATGGAATCGGATCTAAACTGCTGGTCATATTTTTGGCCAAGCGGTGGAACTGTGTCACGATCTGCAGTGCTCTGGGAAGCAGCCCCAGACAGGGCACTCCCGGATAGCGAGCAACCTCCAGCACTAGGAAAATCTACGCAGCTTTTACTGTTTTTCACACTGCAAAGTGGGGATATTCCTGGTGCATTCTTATGTAAGCAAACTAATTCTGCGGTTAAACAATATAATGTGAAAGTCATCATTAAACTGCAAACCAGTGTTTCTATGTTATACATACATGAAGAACTCTCTGCCATTATCAAATATACATTCATTCCCTCGAAGGACAAAAGAACTGCTGGGTGCAGTGGCATATGCCTATAACCCCAGCAGTTCAGGAATTTGAGGCAAGAGGATCATGAGTTCGAGTCCAGCCTGTGCAATGTAGTAAGACTGTCTCAAAAAAAATTTTAAAAGGGCTGGGGATGTTATCTTCATAGGAAGATCCTGGGTTCAAAACAAAAAGATAAAGCACCACACACAGTACTTCCAATGTACAAAGCATTTCTCACACATTTATATGTGCTATTCCAATGACTCATCTACAAAGGAGAATCAAAGTGTTTGAGGTGCAAAGGACGCCTTTTTGTTACTGCCGTCTTTTTGAGACGGTCTCACTATGTAGCTCAGGCTGGCCTTGAATTCACTGTATGGCCCAGGATGGACTTGAACTTGGGGAGATCCCCTTGCTCCCGTCTGGGAGTGTGGGGTCACAGGCGTGCACTGCTGCACCTGGCTCAAATGCTCCTCACTGACTGCGCCGCCAGCCAAAGGGAAAGTGGGGCCGAGGGCACGTCAGCAGTGCGAATGGATCTCACAGCTGGGGCGGACGGGGCCAGCGCCCAGGGTTCCCGTTTTCCCAACATGCTACCTTGCCTTTTATTGTTCCTGTGCTTTGCCTAGTTTCCTGGTATTTGTTTATTATGTATAACGGAAAATAAACTCATTTTCCTTACCTAGTAGAAGATTTCTGATTTCCTGCTTGTCCTGGTTCGTCTTGTTTTAATCCTGCAAGCAGGGCATCCTTTGAACAGTGCTTATCCTTTTTGAAAAAAGGAAGTAAAAGACTGCACATCAAGATCATTAATGCGAGCAGATGCGTTACTAAGCAAATGGTATTAAGGACGTGTACCTGTAAGTGTGTAATGAAAGAAAACCTCTGCCGCTGAAAAGGCTCACAACCTTCCCAAAGACACTGCCCTGGATACACATCCTTCCCTCCATGTTCAGTAGCTGCATGGTAGAAAACCTGTGAGGGGGTCTGAAACCACCTACAAAAAACAGAAGAACATTTCTGACACTCGCATGTATTCTTTAAAATAGGAACCGCCTATTCTTAACACAAGTTATAGGTTAATACATATAGCCAGGCAAGCCAACCTCTCATTTACTTCCCTTGAGGACATTCTGGAATGTCCCTGCTTACATCTCCACCGTGAATCACTCAACCATCCTGAACACTGCTGGCTATGGGCTGTGAGTTTAGTATCCTCATCCCTATTTCTCTATCTTTCCTGAAGATCAGCAAAGACTCTCTTGAGTATAAATGAAATAGCATTTTAAAACACAACACAAAATTATCGTACAAACTCGTACTGTGCTCTCTTATACTTTTAGGAAACTGCTGAAGCACTTATCAGAGCTCACATTATAATACACAGTAATAACTCGCCTATCCAATCCAACAGTTTGAACTCAGGGCAGCATTTTGGCGGAGCTGGTGTTCTGTACGCCCATTCGTGTTTAAGAATCAAAAGCTCTCACTTCTCCAACACCGAGTCGTCTTTACTACGAGGGCTGCACGGCGCCAGCGTCTGAGTACGAGACAGCCTATCAGTGAAGTCACGTGCAGCCGTCCTTTCTCAATGCGGCAAAGGGCAGGGTGCGCAACACACACCTGTACTCCCAGCTGCCCGCGAGGCTGAGGTCATTCCGGGCAACTCCGTGATGCTCTGTCTCACACGTAAATAAAAAGGGCTGGGGACGCAGCTTGTGGTGCAGCACTTGCCTAACGTATGGGACCCTGGGTTCAATCCCCAGTATTATGAGAGCAGTAACCACAAAAACCCCGTAACAATGAAAAACATCCCTGGAATCCAGACCAAAGTACGTATTATGTATTTGTTACTAATATTACTATTGTTATTATTTTGATTTTTTGAGACAGTATCTCGCCATGCAGTTCAGGCTGGCCTCAAACTCGGAATCACTCTCCTGCCTCAGCCTCCCACACACTGGGAGCATGCCTGGGTCAAGACAGCAGATATATTCAATATATTAAAAGTCTTAAATATATTGAAAGTGTTCAGTTACAAATTAGTAAGGCGAATATTTACACAGTCAGCCTATACCAGAGATCTTTTCATTTTTCTCTATGCTTTTCATATAAACACGCCTATATTTGAGCCAAATTTTAACGTCTAGCATAGATTCAGTATCTCCAAGTAGTTCAGGAAATGACTGACATTTTCAAGTGAATTTTAATCAAGAAAGTAAAAAGGCGATGTTAAAAGTCGCAGATGACACGTTTCACCTCCAGCGACAGCAGTCACACCTAGAGAGGGTTACTGTGAAACCAAAGTCAGGGATCCACTCTGGAACTTCCTTCAGTACTCAGCGGACTCTTCATGCAACACAGACGACTGCAGCTCTACGACACGGATGAGTAAGGCCAGGGGGACGCGCCCTACGCGCTATGGACTCAGCAGGCGGGGGCCAGTCACGCTGTAAACGCGACAGTGGTCCCATAGGGTTATAACGGGACGGGAAAACCCTAGCAGCTGGGACCCTGCAGCTAGTGTCACAGCCCGCACACGACTCGCTCGTTCGCGGCGACGGCTGCGCACACAACACCCTGCGCGCCAGCGCGGCACCCGCGGTTACCACCGGCGCCTGCGGGGAAACGGCGTGAGCGTCACTGCGCGCCAGGGCCCGCGATTCCGCCGTCGCGCCGACAGCCGAGCGATGCGGCCCTCTCAGCCTCGTGTCAGGGCCCTGGCCGTGCGCGAAGGCAAGCGCTGCGACACACTCCTCAGGACGCGCCTGTCGCTGGAGCGCCTGGCAAAGGCGCGGTACGCGCCCAAACCCCAACGCACGCTGGCCGCTCGTCTGACTCAGGCTGTTTCCACACGACTTCGCAGCAAGTGAAATGAACGTTACTCGCAATACTTGAAAAAGGGCAGTCCTGCCGGGCGTGGTGGCGCACACCTACAATCCCAGCGCTTGCGGGGCTGAGGGTCATCGTGAGTGCGACACCAGCCCGGGCTGCGAAGTGACTTGAAGGCCAGCCTGCACTGAACAGAAGACCCTGACTCAAAAGAAACTGGGTAAAAAAGGGACAGTTCAAGTCAATTTTAATTATTACACACACACGTGTGTGTGCATAAATTTTTAAGACAAGCAGATTTTCAAGGGCTCCATCTACTTGTCCGACACTGAAATCTGCTACTTTCTTTCAACGCACTCCTCCGCCCACTGCAAATCCCCTTCTCTGGGCACGGAGGCCGCGCACTCACTGTCCGGGCGGTTCGAGGTACGACAGGACTGTGAATGAAGCTGGTACCCTAAGCACACAGAGGCGAGAAGTAGTCGGGGTTTCCAAACCCGCTACATGGACTACCTAAATTTCAGAAATTTAATACGGCAGAGTCAAACGAAAGAAGTGCAAAGCAAGCCGGGCGTGGTGGTGCACGCCTGTAATTCCAGCACTCAGGAGACTGAGGCAGGAGGGTTGTCACAACTCTGAGGTCAGCCTGAACTATATGGCAAGACCCTGTCCCTGTCTCTCTCTCTCTCTCTCTCTCTCACACACACACACACACACACACACACAGGCAAACAGGCTACATTTTTAGAATATGTGGAATGGGTACGGAACAATAAGCGATGAGGCAGGATGATGAACTTTCTACTTCTCGGAATTGCTAAGTGTCACGACTCAGCAGGGACCCAGCACTCTGAAATTCTACACTGCTTGAGTAATCTAGACAGTCAGAGAATATCAATTTTACCGCTACACCAAACAAAAGTTCTATTTCATAAGCAGACAGCTTTTACACTGGAAATGTTTTAAAAGCATTTTCATGTCCTCTACATTCCTGGTCTGACCTTTAATAATATGATTTCAAGTGCTACTAAAAATTATATTTGTCTTCAAAGGAAAATTTTCCCTTTTAGCAGTTATTAAACATCTACAATGAGCAACGTACATTAGAAAGCTGGTCTTCAAATATCCTTTATAATACACCCCTCTTTTCAAACATATTACTTAAAACCACTACACATGAGAAGCAGAGCTACTCTGGTCAAGTGTAAGTTAGACATCTCTTTAATCTTAATTTTCTTTGCTTTTTTTTTTTGAGAGAGGGTCTTGCTATGTAGTATATGTTGGCCTTGAACTCATGGTGATTCTACTGCCTCAGCCTCCTGAGTGTTAGAATTACACCACATCTGGCTCTTACAGGTTATTACAAACGAATATTTTTTTCTGGTCTTTTTTGAGACAGGGTCTTGTTCCGCAGTTCAGGCTGGACTTGAGCTCACTTTGTAGCCCAGGCTGGCCTCAAACTCACAACGATCCTCCTGCCTCAGCCTTCCGAGTGCTGGGATTACGGGCGTGTGTGCCACCATGCCCCTCTCTAAAAACATACACAGGACCATTTCTAGCTAACAGCCAGCACTGTGCATAAAGCTGACACACGAACAAGGACACACGAGATCGCCAGTTTCCTCACAAATGCGTGAAGAGCTTGAAGCCGTTACTGTAACCCTCACAACGTGAGACAAGCTAGGTACACCGAAAACGAAGCCCTCTTCGGACGCGCTACACTGAAGGAGAGCGCTGAACCTGCAGGAGCCATGTGCAAAGCTGGAGAGGCGGGCGGCCAGCGAGAGTCGCTGCGTGCTGCGAGGGCGGGAACGCAGAGCAGTACTCCCCAAAAGTAACTGACAAACCTCAGCACCTCGGCTGAGCGCCGTCGGAGTTCCAGCTCCTGGGGGCGGTCTCGAGGGAGAATCACCTTTTGGGGGAGTCTCACCTCCAGAACCTTCACCAGACGCTCACAGTGAAGACTGGGGAAAAGCCGCTTCCCAGGAGGGAAGGAGGACGCAGCCTTCCATGCGGCCAGGGTTCCTTTCTCCTCCGCGAAGACCTGCCCTCGGGACGTCTGCCCCAGGGGCAGCCCGGGACGGAGGAGGGGCCGCGACCCCCTCCCCTCCCCCTCCTGCCTTGTGCACACTCCCGCGCGCTCCATCCCTGATCTGTGGCTCCGGTCCCTCCCCTGGACTTCTTGTCTGCAGCAGGGGTAACAAATAAGGTCAAAAGCCTTGGCTGACGGCCTGCCTTGAAAAAAGTGAGCTGGGCATGCTTGCGCAAGCCTGTAATCCCAACCCTGCAGAAGCTATGGCCGGAGGGAGGCTGAGGCAGGAAGACTGCCAACAACTGCAGGTCAGCCTGGGCTACGGTGGGTTCAAGGCCAGCCTGAAGCTCAAAAACCAGAGTGAGAGTCAGTCATCAGATCACAGAACGCTTGGCTCACTGCCGTGCCCACAGAGCACCAGCGTGACACAGTGGGTTAGAACCGAGAGTGACAAGATACAGCTCGTATTTAAAAGGGAGTTTCCACAGAAACACCAAGTGATGCACCTAGTGTATCACCTAGTGCTACAGCGAGTATCACACAGCCTGAGTCCTAGCCAGATCACTAGCAGCCAAAACTACTAAAGGTTTCTTTATTTCAGATCTTACTGAAATAGTATCCTGTCCTTCATCAAAGCTTACAGGGCTTGTAAAGTATAAAAACCAAAAACTGCCCACGCCCACGCCCACGCCGGAGTCGATGCAAAGCAAGGCATCAGAAGCAGGGAGCTGGCGCCACACGACGACAGCTTCAGCTCCCCAGGGGCTGGCACGGGAGCGCTACTCAAGCCCAGGAGTTTGACGCCACGGTGGGCCGCGCAGGCGCACCCTGGCTCTGTTTGGGGACAGGGTCTCGCTGCGCAGCGCAGGCTGGCCGTGAGCCCGGCCAGTGCTCCCAGCCCTCAGGCTCTGAGGCGCGGGGTTACACGCGCACCGCCAGCTGGCAGAGCAGAATTAACGCCAACTACAATGAAAAAGAAAAAAATGATATCTTATTTTAAAAAGATCAGACTGGGAATTTAAAATAATTCTGATTCTTATGCTAAGGGTCTAAAGCAGTATGTGTACAACATGCAAGAACGAATGGGTAACGTAAGCAGAGAGATGCGAAGATTCGAAAGAAAACGCTAGGAA